TCAGGTCACTTGAGCCGTTGGTACAGAGAGGCTAAAAGATAAAATTATAGCAGATTGACAGTATAATACAAGCCATAGATTCTAGAAGTATGTGAAGTAAATGAAAAAAGAAAAAAAATTCTACACTTTATTCTTGTTTGTAAACATCTGCTTCATATTGATTGAAGAATCTCCCAGTAATGATTGTTTTGTGAAATATTCTATTAATTCTCAATAAATATATTTTGTGAAAAGCCAAGATACATGTTAGTATACAATACGAGTATTGCTTGCTGTAAGATCAATTACTACTCGATAAGACATTCACCCAAACTCATGTTTTTATAAGGACTAGTTATATACAAAAACAAACTGTCTATACTAGTGAAAGGTTTTATTTGGGACCAACATGAAAAATAAATATCAGGAAAGCTCTAACAAGTTCAAAATTTCACAATCTAATTTGTAACTTAATTGATGTAAATATTATGAACTTCTTTTAAGAGTTCAAAATTTGATAGAGATATGTAAATAATCATCTCTCTATTCCTAGCTGAATTAATTAATACTTAATTTTTTATATGTCTACTATGTCAAATAATTTGTATATTGTTTTATTGTGAAAGTTGCTATGTTCTTGTGTCACATCAGGTCATCATGTTTTCATACATTTTTTTATGTATATATTCTGTGACATTTATTTCAACTTGACCGTTTTACTTTAATTTAAGATCCATTCTACGATTGCGCTAATAAAGACAAAACATTTATATTTCCCACTCTTCCCCTCTCTTTCTAGATAAAGGACAAACCTGATTGCAAGGATAGTCTAATTGACAAAAAGAATTGTCTCAAACTACGGATCGGGCTCAGTTAACTAAAAACATACCCAAACCGTTTGAGACAATATTTTTAAAAGCAATTTTTACAATGATTTTAGATGACATTATTTTTCTTAAAAATAAAAAGCAAATTTCCACTTTTTTTGAAACTTTTAAAATGAAATAGGCCTTTAATTGTCACCAAATATGTTCTTGTAAGTAAAAGTTCTATGTTCTGGCATACAATCGAGCAAAAACGCAGTTTCTTGGTATCGGTCGCGGAAGACGAACTACTGCTATATATGCCGCAATTTCAGAGGTAAAACTGTAGATGGACATGTCATTAGTCTCCAAAATTTTTTTAGAGATACAAAGAAAATATGGCTGCAGCAGGCTAGATTAATTCGTAAAAACTTTATAACTAAAAATTTGTTCCGCACATTTTGTAAAAAATGATGATCCGTCTGCAGAATATTAACTACCGAAAATTAGCTTATAAGCTTTTTTTTTTAAAAATAGGCCTATTCGAATGTGTATCAGCATTCTATCAGTAATTTGTTTCTTTTTTTTTTTTTGTAAGGGGGGGGGGGGGTCACACAGCACCTTATTATAGTACTACACAGATTAATACAAATTCAGAAAGAGACTATGAGTGGGCAATTTAAAAAAAAAATACGAATCAGTTAAGATTTCTTTTTATTCACAAACACAATAACATTTTTCCATATGACTGAGGCATAACACCATAAACATGTTTACATCAAGAACGTCCGCGGAAGTGACTTTATTTATAGCGCATGCGTATTAAACACAGTAAAAGAGTTCCCTTCAGGGGAAATAACTCACCTTTTGAAAATGGGGAATTATTCCCTTATAAATTTGTCAAATTGAAGAGCCTATTTTGTCAAATTTTGCCCCGCAAGCCATGCTATAAATGTTGTATTTTATTCAGCATATACATTTCCTTTGGAAAATCATAAAAGTTAAAGAAAAATTTTATATGAGTCAGCAGAGGGTTTATGAACCTTAATTTTATTTTTTTATCAAATTGTCAAGAACAGCAGTACCTATATACCTTGTATTCATATCTTTAGGTGATGCTGATTCAAGTTAGTTTAAATTAGGGTGCGTAGAGAACAGGGAACAATATTTTACATGATATTTTATTGACATTTTTGTATCAAAGACTATTAGACATCAATATAATACAGGTATTATAAAATATACAGTCATTCATATCCATTGCCGATTCATTTTTTTTTCTTCGAATCATGGCTTAATATAGGAGATCTGTTTACTAGTATCATTACATCAACTTAAAAGAGTATCAAGGAAACACATTTATTATAAACACTCATTTACTGTAAAGTAAGGTGGGAATATTTGAAATATGCTATCAAAAAGCATCGTTATTTTCATAAACCTTATAAAAAAAGGACAGACAGCCACACTACATATGATGTATAGAATTTAGAAGTATAAAAGTAATTTTACCTGTTTATAGCGAGAGTTCCTTCTTCTGATAGATCTGACCCATTTGGCTTTTTATTTTGATCTTTTCTCGGAAGTAAGGGGGAATGTGGATTATTAGAAATGGAATTGCTAGACGAACAGGACCGATCTCTTCGTCTTGTGGAAAATCGACTTACAAACGAAGCGTTTGTTTTAAATGGACGTTCTCTGTAAAATATTACAAATATAAATCAGTGTTCTGTAAATAATAAACATTAGGCAAAATATAAGTATTATTTTAAAAATAACTTATTTTGACAAAAAGTACAATTTCTGCATAATTGAAGCAAAAGGTGTAAAATTAGCAATATTCTTTAAATATTCATTTCGGATTTTTCAGGCATAAAGCATAACAAATTTTGCGAAAATTTTTATCATTTTAAAAACAACACGAATTGAAATCGTAAATTATTTCTTAATCTCAATTTCAGTCTGGAAAAGACTGAAAATCTTAATATCAAATAATCACATCAATGTGTAAAGAAAAAAAGTTGGTAATTGGTAATATCTATTTCCATCTTTGTCTCTTTGAAGATGTTAATCAAAAAAATAAAAGTTTAAAAACTCATACGATGTAGGACTTGGACAGGGAGTCATGTGAGGTTTCCAGGTAGCGACCGACATAGAGTTGGTGTCGGCGGCGTAGCACCTCCATAGACACTGAATGAGCTGCGCTGCGGGAACACGGCGCCGGATAAGGTGTTTCTGGCGTTGCTGCTGCTGAACTTTTAAAGCAAAGCCCGAGCCTAATATCCCCTAAAATTATAGAAATACATAGTAGGTTACATGATTTCAATCGTTATGTTTTTTTACTGTATTTGAAGATGCTAATTACTGTAAGAAATATAAGCATGCTATAAAAACTTGGAATGAAATACTTGGCATTTTTCAAAAATCTATTTTCATTTATCATTTATTTATTTTTTTGAACTGAAAATATTTTAAAATACAAATTTCCATTGCTTACTGCTGGAAGTGCGAAGAATGAAATTCCCAGAATGGCTGAAAAAGCTGCGATGAGTTTTCCTGCCCAGGTTGTTGGGACAACGTCACCATAACCAACAGTGCACAAGGTAATCTATAAAATGGTCATATCTTGTATACTACCTACATTACATTATAATAATATTAGTTAATTAAAAAAATAAATAAAATAAAAAAAACCCAAACATATTTCTTCAAACTACACCTACTTATATTTATTCATTTATTCAGTATATTTCGGAAAATAGAAAACCCTCTGAATTAAAATATATCTGATTTATAAAATATTGCTTATCCAGGTAAGCACAGGTAAGTCTACCTGTACCCCTTAGAGGGCCCCTTAATTGAGTGTGATAATTACTTGTTGTTTTTTCCTAGTAGCCATTCGGGGAACACACCGGTGGGATTAAGGCTGTGCGGAATTTATATAATTTATCACATTTGCCGAAATATAAGAAAAGTTTTGACAACAATTTACACAAAGTCCGAAAAGTTAATTTACACGGTAATTTAAAATAAGTCCAAAAATGTTGTATTTTACACCGTAACAATCCTATTAATGCTGCTTATACTGTGAAATCATTTTTATTCGTGGGGGTCAATGTTCGTGGGTAGCTAAATATTTCCTGGTTCGTGGGGAAAAAAAATTTTATATACTCATATGGGGGCGGTACCCTGATTTATGTATCCGATTCATTTCGAGCCATAAGACGCACTGACCTTGAACCTTTGAATACGGAATGTATATGGATAGAAGTTAGCGATCCTATAAGTAATATTTACCTTTGCTGTCTATATCGGCCTCCGAATTCTGATAAATCCTTTTGGAAAAACGTAATGTGGTCCATTGAAAAAGTTTCTGATATATCCAATAAGATAACTATCCTTGGAGACTTAAATGTAGATTTTTTAGATATTCCACGCACTCACATTGTTAACGAAATTTTGTCTCAGTATAGCCTTAGCAATATTGTCAATGAAGCAACGAGAGTCACGAGTAGATCGAGCACGCTTATTGACCCAATTCTGGTTAGCTCAGACATCAAGGTGCTTCACTCTGGAACTGTTCATGTTGATAATTTTATAAGTGACCATAAAGGAACATATGTTTTTGTTAAATCAGATGTTATTCAAAATCAATCATACGAAAGAAAGGTTTGGTTATATAAGCACGCAGATATGGATAAATTGAATTCTCTCATTGAAAATACTGATTGGAATACGCTTATAATTGAGGAACCTGATATAGATCAAGCAAGGAAAAATTTTACATCAACATTTTTGAATAAAGTAAAGGAATGTATTCCTGAAAAATCGGTTGTAATTCGTCCGAAAGATAAACCTTGGTTTGATTCGGCTATGCGTAAAACACATAGAAACAAGAATAGATTATTTAGTAGGGCCCAAAGGACAAAAAGAAATTCTGACTGGGAAAAATATGAGAAATGCAGGAATAAGTTTAACAATATGAAAAAAATCGCCATTGAAAACTATCATAATAACATAGAGCATCATATTACAGACGCAAGTAAAAATAATTCCAAACTTTACTGGAAGTTATTGAGAGATATATTTAAAGTAAAATCTACTACCGATATTCCTCCTCTACAGTATACCTTTGTTAATGGTGATGCATGTGTGGCTTTTACAAATGAAGAGAAAATAGATGTTTTAAATGATTATTTTGCTTCTATCACTTGTATTGACGAAAACGACGCCATTTTACCTAATTTCAATTCTGTGTGCAATAACCCATTTGATACAGTCTGTATTGATGAACAAGAGATTATAGATATTATTTCAATTATTCCTGTTTACAAAGCAATAGGTCCAGATAATATTAGTCACAAGATGTTGAAATCCACCATGTATACTATTGTAAAACCATTATGTTTATTGTTTAATAGGTCATTAGTTGATTGTATTTTTCCTTGAAATGGAAAGTTGCCAATGTTCTCCCTTTATTTAAAAAAGATGATCCATCTGTTATGTCTAATTATAGACCTGTGTCATTGTTAAGTTGAATTGGTAAAATACTGGAACGAATCATATTCAAACACTTGTATAATCACTTTCGTGACAACAATCTTTTTTTATAAATACCAGGCTGGATTTTTACCAGGTCATTCCACTGTATATCAACTAATAGAAACATATGATACTATTGTTAAATCCATCGATGATGGTGAAAATTGTTGTATGATATTCTGTGATCTTTCTAAAACATTTGATCGTGTGTGGCACAAGGGTCTCTTGTTCAAACTTAGAACTTATGGTATAGAGGGAAATATGTTTCATTGGTTAAAGAGTTACATAGAAGGTAGATCACAAAGAGTTTTATACAGAAACTTGCTATCTGACGAAAAACCTATACACGCCGGTGTCCCTCAAGGCTCAGTGTTAGGACCTCTATTATTTCTTATATATGTTAATGATGTTGCTGAAGAAATGACAAGTTTTTGTAGATTATTTGCAGACGATAACTCCCTACAACAGTCATCTAAAAATGTTAATACTATTGAAAACAAACTGAATTCTGATCTTAACAAGCTAGAAATCTGGTCGAAAAAATGGCTTCTTAAATTCAATCCTACTAAAACTAAAGCAATATTTTTTAGCCTGAAAAAAAGTGTTATTTATCCTAAACTTTTCTTCCAGCAAAGTCAGCTAGAATTTAATGTTTCTTTTCATAAACATTTAGGAATTTTTTTCTCGCAAGATCTAAGTTGGTCTACACATATTGATTCTATTCTAGTCAATGCATATAAAAAATTGGGCTTGTTAAAAAAACTTAAATTTGTTGTCAACCGAAAAACTCTTTCACTCATGTACACAACCTTTATCAGACCACATTTAGAATACGCTTCCTTGGTGTGGGGTGGATGTAATATAGGTGACAGCGAAAAATTAGAAAAATTACAATTATGTGCTGCTAGAATTGTCACAGGATTAACTCTGTTAGCTTCTAAAGATGCACTTTACATTGAAACTGGATGGGAACCATTACATGAAAGAAGGAAAAAGACCAGACTAACTACAATGTATAAAATTGATAAAAACCAAGTTCCTGAATATCTCACTGATATAATCCCTAACTTACGATGTAATTCATCAAGTAACAGTACGAGAAACTCGCAGAACTATAACATACCCAAATGCAGATTGCAAGCTTACAAATCAACTTACGTTCCCCTTGTTATTGAAGAATGGAACTCATTACCTCTTAATGTAAGAAATTCTCCCTCCTTATCTATTTTTAAACAGTCTATTTCTTACAATAAACAAATGCCACCCTCTTACTTCAGTTATGGAAATCGACGCTTAAATATAATACACACGGGGCTTAGACATAACTGTGTGCTTAATAGCGATCTTTTTTGATGTAATGTAATCTTGAGTCCACTATGTTCTTGTGGAAGAGTGGAGGATTCTCATCATTATTTCTTCTCATGCAAAAAATATACAGAAGCCAGGAATGAATTTTTTGACAAATTTTTGCGAATGGGTAAATTACACACTGTCGATACTCACACTTTACTCTGGGGAGACAAATCGTTAAATGATTTTGAAAATGAATACCTATTCTCTATTGTACAAACTTTCATTAAAAAGTCAGGACGATTTGGTTGATACAATAATTATTTCTAATTGTAAATCTTATACAGCATGTCTATTACATATGTAATGTATTCTATTGAATGTGTTTTACTCTGATTATTATATATTATTATTATATTATTATTATTATCATTGTTATTTCATTTTAAGCTGAAACCCATGTATGTAAATATGTTTGGTATAATGTATATGTAGGGAAAGGGCGTAATAAGTTTTGAGAACTTTTGCCCAATCCCATTTGTAAAGTATAATCAATAAAATATGTTCAAATCAAATCAAAAAGTTTTATTTCGTTTTTTTCTCCAAAGTTAAAATAAAGAAAGATAACTCCGACAATTTTACTTATTTAAGTTATCTATCTTGTGAACACAAACGTACCGCCAAATTACACCCGTAATGTCAGAGTGAATAAAAATTATAATTATAAGAACACTAGTGATAAGTAGGGCATGTTTTTAAATCTCTAAATCAAAGGGAACGATAATACGTTTACCCTGTAACTAATTCATGCTTATTAGCTAATAAGCACTACTCCAAACTCGCACTGATAATTGACCTCATGAAAGGGACATTTGAGCATGTTGGAAAATTACATTTTGTCAAAATGTATCAAAAAGATTATTGTCGAACAGCATGCAAAAGTTATTAGTTTTGGCAGAATATATAGTATTTGGAATATTCACACACAGGAAGTACTAAAATTACTTTAAACTACTCTCTGAGCGTGAAGCAATCACTCCTGAAAATTTCGATGAAAATGCTCATTTCTTTGACAAATTTCGTTTGGAAGAAATAAGTAACGATGGAAATGATATTACTTGAAACACTCTTGATTACCTCGATAAACAAACATTTAAAAAAGAAAATTAAAATTTGCGTATTTTTTATCTATTTCTGGTGGACAAAGAACGTCACGGCAATAAAATATAAATAGGTTTCTACCATCTTCTGGTCATCATCTGTCCTCCTGAAAGTTTTAAGACTCAATTTCTAATGGTCTTTGAGAACTTGCGGACAAAATGCCACAAAAAAGAAAAGTGACCATATCTTACTACTGGAAGTGATGACGGCAAAATAAAAAGAAATACTAGTAAGTTGCTTTGCCATGATTGCGTAAAAGTAAGTTGCTTTGCCATGATTGCGTAAAAGTACATAAAAGTCTATTTAGGCAAAAAACGAGGGCGCTTTTGATTGGCATTCGGCAGGAATCTGGGCGTAATTGCAAAGTGAAAATTATATCAGCATGTCACAAGAAATTTTAACATTTTATTTATTTATCGGGTTCCTTTGCAACAGGAAAGGAAAATATTTTCCCGAAATTGAGCTTTGATTTGCTAAAAAATAACTTGAAAATTGGCCAGATCAGGCATTTGGTACAAAATGATACATTTTTATACAGGTTTTTCTAAAAACTATTTCTATCCCTGGGTCTTCTCTCCATGATTTTGAAACGTTATTTGTGTGTATTTTAATTCAAAGAAACTAACACTTTTTTTAAAAATGGAGAGAAGACCCAGAGATCACGAAAAATGAACTTTTCACCAAAAATCCAAATGTGTGAATATGGTGCTTCTTATTCCTTTTAAAATCATTTGTTTATGTGTAGCGTTGATAGCGCAGTAAGTTTGGTACCTGTAAAGTGCACTAGAAGCAAAAAGTTTTTGGTTCGAGCCTGACATGGGGCGTTAATTTTTTCCCCATCCAAACAGCCATTTATTTTGTCAGTTTCGTTTTGAGTACTGGTACTGTAAACCAATTATTATACGC